AACAGCTGTGGTAATTACTAAGGCAGTGAAACTGATCAAATCACCTGTGCAAAATAATGGAAATCCTGAAAACATGACCTGTTGGGGGTCCATGAGGACTGGAGTTGAGAAACACTGCCATAAGGTGATCTCCTACCCCATAAGGTGGTCTCCTACCCCATAGGGCAGTCTGCTACCCTGCAGTGTTGTCCCCTGTGCTATAGGGCGTCTCTCCTACCCCACAGGGTGATCTCCTACCCAATAGGGTGGTCTCCTACCTCATAAGGTGGTCTCCTACCCCATAGGGTGGTCTCCTACCCCATAGGGCAGTCTGCTACCCTGCAGTGTTGTCCCCTGCGCTATAGGGTGGTCTCCTACCCCACAGGGTGATCTCCTACCCCATAGGGTGGTCTCCTACCTCATAAGGTGGTCTCCTACCCCATAAGGTGGTCTCCTACCCCATAGGGTGGTCTCCTACCCCATAGGGCAGTCTGCTACCCTGCAGTGTTGTCCCCCTGCACTATAGGGTGGTCTCCTACCCCACAGGGTGGTCTCCTACCCCACAGGGTGATCTCCTACCCCATAGGGTGGTCTCCTACCCCACAGGGTGATCTCCTACCCCATAGGGCGGTCTCCTACCCCATAGGGTGATCTCCTACGCTATAGGGTGGTTCACTCTTCTGTGATTGGTGGGATACTTACATCTCTCATGTATGGAGAGCTGGTTTATCTGCAAGAACAAGAGAACAGTTACTGGAATGTTCTTCTAGTGACACCATTTGCGGATGAATGACGGGAATGTACAGATGACATCGGGGGACAGTGTGATATAAAAGTGATATAAAAGTGATACAGAGAGAACAATGGATCCCAGGCTTGTCCCCAGTTAGTGTTTTTGATTCCTGAGTCCTTATGGAGATTACGGTCCAACTCTAAAGTGTAAGGCCAAAGCTTCCCTCACCCATCCCCCCTCCCTCTCCCTCAGTCAGTGTGCAATTAATGTTTGTTAATCAAAATAAAGTCAATTTCAAGAAATACCTCTTTTTGTGACCTGAAAGTCATATTTTTTTTCTGCTGGTGTTTGCTTTGTAGTAAGATGTTTGGGGGGTGGGGAGTGGGGGCAGCAGGCTCCAGTAAATGTCACAACAATCTCCATTGTGATATGAAAGAACGCATCTTTGGCAACCCTTTGGATGTGCATTCCTGGTGGCCATTGAATGATGCAAACCTTAACTGTGCAATCTGCCATCAGGAATGCACATCTAAAGGGATGCCAGAGATGTGATGTGAATGTGAAAAAGTCTCATCATTTTCATATGGAATCATGAGAAGCCTTTCTGATGGGAACCCTAACGGAGTAATGAACTGATACAGCCAGAGTTCTGGAGATGAATGGTATAGAGGTGTGCAGGACACAGAACATGGAGAACGTGACAGACAGACAGGGAATGGATAATGGTGTGAATGGTCTCACCTGGAGAAGATTCTGGAGATGAATGATATAGAGATGTGCAGGACACAGAACATGGAGAACGTGACAGACAGACAGGGAATGGATAATGGTGTGAATGGTCTCACCTGGAGAAGATTCTGGAGATGAATGATATAGAGGTGTGCAGGACACAGAACATGGAGAATGTGACAGACAGGGAATGGATAATGGTGTGAATGGGCTCACCTGGAGCAGATTCTGGAGATGAATGATATAGAGATGTGCAGGACACAGAACATGGAGAATGTGACAGACAGGGAATGGCTAATGGTGTGAATGGTCTCACCTGGAGAAGATTCTGGAGATGAATGATATAGAGGTGTGCAGGACACAGAACATGGAGAATGTGACAGACAGACAGGGAATGGATAATGGTGTGAATGGTCTCACCTGGAGCAGATTCTGGAGATGAATGATATAGAGGTGTGCAGGACACAGGACATTGAGAACATGACAGACAGGGAATGGATAATGGTGTGAATGGTCTCACCTGGAGAAGATTCTGGAGATGAATGATATAGAGATGTGCAGGACACAGAATATGGAGAACGTGACAGACAGGGAATGGTGATGGTGTGAATGGTCTCACCTGGAGAAGATTCTGGAGATATATGATATAGAGGTGTGCAGGACACAGGACATTGAGAACATGACAGACAGGGAATGGATAATGGTGTGAATGGTCTCACCTGGAGAAGATTCTGGAGATGAATGATATAGAGGTGTGCAGGACACAGAATATGGAGAACGTGACAGACAGGGAATGGATAATGGTGTGAATGGTCTCACCTGGAGCAGATTCTGGAGATGAATGATATAGAGATGTGCAGGACACAGGACATGGAGAACGTGACAGACAGGGAATGGTGATGGTGTGAATGGTCTTACCTGGAGCAGATTCTGGAGATGAATGGTATAGAGATGTGCAGGACACAGAATGAACATGGAGAACGTGACAGACAGGGAATGGATCATGGTGTGAATGGTCTCACCTGGAGCAGATTCTGGAGATATATGATATAGAGGTGTGCAGGACACAGAACATGGAGAACGTGACAGACAGGGACTGGATAATGGTGTGAATGGTCTCACCTGGAGCAGATTCTGGAGATATTTGATATAGAGGTGTGCAGGACACAGAACATGGAGAACGTGACAGACAGGGAATGGATAATGGTGTGAATGGTCTCACCTGGAGCAGATTCTGGAGATGAATGATATAGAGGTGTGCAGGACACAGAACATGGAGAACGTGACAGATAGGGAATGGTGATGGTGTGAATGTTCTCACCTGGAGAAGATCTTGCAGTCCAGGTAGAACTCCTTTCCTTCCTGCAGTGATTGGTGATGAGGAGGACATCAGAGGAGAGACAACAGGGGTGGAAATAACATTGTAGCTGGGAGGGTCCTCGGGGTTCTCAGTATTCATCATTGGAGAAATGTCTGGAAGAACATCCAGATAGTCTGCTTATAGTCAACCCTCCCGAGTGTAAGATCTGCAATGTCCTCCTCATAGTTCACAAGGACTGAATGAAGCTTTACAATGGAACCAACCAAGCCTGGTGATACTTCTCCGGAGCACCAGAGCATGGGCACTTATCTCAGGGGACCACCAGATAGTGGGCTCACAATGTACACATTGGGGAACTCGGCACAGGGATGGTGCGAACCCCTCATAATGGGCACAGCGGGTGTACAGACCTGAGAAATCAGCACAGGGATGGTGGGAGCCCCTCATAATGGGATCAGCGGGTGTACAGACCCGGGAAATCTGCACAGGGATGGTGGAAACCCCTCATAATGGGCACAGCGGGTGTACATACCTGGGAAATCAGCACAGGGATGGTGGGAACCCCTCATAATGGGATCAGCGGGTGTACAGACCCGGGAAATCAGCACAGGGATGGTGGGAACCCCTCATAATGGGATCAGCGGGTGTACAGACCTGGGAACTCGGCACAGGGATGGTGGGAACCCCTCATAATGGGCACAGCGAGTGTATAGACCCGGGAACTCAGCACAGGGATGGTGGGAACCCCTCTTAATGGGCACAGCAGGTGTACAGACCCGGGAAATCAGCACAGGGATGGTGGGAACCCCTCATAATGGGCATAGCAGGAGTACAGACCCGAGAACTCAGCACAGGGATGGTGGGAATCCCTCATAATGGGATCAGCGGGTGCACAGACTTGGGAACTCAGCACAGGGATGGTGGGAACCCCTCATAATGGGCACAGCAGGAGTACAGACCCGGGAACTCAGCACAGGGATGGTGGGAACCCCTCATAATCGGCACAGCGGGTGTACAGACCCGGGAGCTCAGCACAGGGATGGTGGGAACCCCTCATAATGGGAAGAGCAGGAGTACAGACCCGGGAACTCAGCACAGGGATGGTGGGAACCCCTCATAATGGGAAGAGCAGGAGTACAGACCCGGGAACTCAGCACAGAGATGGTGGGAACCCCTCATAATGGGCACAGCAGGAGTACAGACCCGGGAACTCAGCACAGGGATGGTGGGAACCCCTCATAATGGGCACAGCATGAGTACAGACCCGGGAACTCAGCACAGGGATGGTGGGAACCCCTCATAATGGGCACAGCAGGAGTACAGACCCGGGAACTCAGCACAGGGATCCCCTCAGTAGGACTCCAGAGAGAGAAGAGACTGTTGGGGGTGTATCCCTCCATCATCCACTGCACACTGACACCATTTGTGGACTCACACTACTCCTATCATTATATAGAGATCGATGTAATAGAAGGAGGATAGGGATGGTGGGACTTACCCAGCAGACGGTGTATGGAGCTGGCTGTGTGAGCTGGTCAGGGTGGAGAAGGATGGAGATGACACAAGCAGGATGTATGGTTACACAATGTTCACCATGAAGGACTGCAGGGTGGAGGTGTCACCATCCATGTGTGACACCAGGAGGCCAGTCTGTTGAGGAGCACAAAGTGCGACAGACTTGGAGAAATGAATCCGCATAAAAAATGTAAAATCCAAAACAAACGCAACATTTTTATTCTGCAATACTCGCTTCCTCCTTTTCTCAGAAAGTCATTGGAGAAGCACTGCTGGTGTCACTCGTACAGAGAAAGAGAAGGAAGCCGGAGAAGTGAGAATGATCTGCAGGAAATGAAGGGGAAGCTGAGACGGTTACGGAACTTCAGGAGGCCTCGGGTTCAGCTCAGCAATCACAGGAACTTCTACTGAAGAAGCATCTAAAGGTCAAGAAACAAACAAAAAGTTTCTGCGAGATATGAAGGATCACAAGATGGGGAAGATGTGGAGGCCGGTGACAACTCCTAGAAGGTTGGGGAGGTCGTGAGAGGTCCATTCCGGAATGTGGGGCTCTGGGGGGCTCTGGGGGGCTCTGGGGGGCTCTGGGGGGCTCTGGAGGGCTCTGGGGCCACATCTCTCCTCTACCCTGGAAAGCATGGAATAAAAAATGGAACCATTCATCTCATGCTTTCCAGGAAAGAAAATGTCGGTGTTTACATCGGCCCAACCAGAAGTGACAACATGCCATTGCTTCTCCTGTCTTACACCCGTGGTCACCAAACTGGGGGGCCAGGGGCCCTATGTGAGCCCCTGCTTGCCTTTACCCTTGGGGAACTTTTCATTCCGCTGACACAAGACACTATTCCTCCCACTGACACCAACGATGGAGCACTATTCCTCCCACTGACACCAACAATAGAACATAGTTCCTGCTACTGACACCAACAATGGGACACTATTCCTCCCACTGACACCAATGATGGGACAATATTTCTGCTACTGACACCAACAAAGGGACACTATTCCTCCCACTGACACCAATGATGGGGCACTATTCCCCCACTGATACCAATGACGGGGCACTATTCCTCCCACTGACACCAATGATGGGACACTATTCCTCCCACTGACACCAATGATGGGGCACTATTCCTCACTGACACCAATGATGGGGCACTATTCCTCCCACTGACACCAATGATGGGGCACTATTCCTCCCACTGACACCAATGATGGGGCACTATTCCTCCCACTGACACCAATGATGGGGCACTATTCCTCCCACTGACACCAATGATGGGGCACTGACACCAATGATGGGCACTATTCCTCCCACTGCATGATGGGTTCCTCCCATCTATTCCTCCCACTGACACCAATGATGGGGCACTATTCCTCTCACTGACACCAATGATGGGGCACTATTCCTCCCACTGACACCAATGATGGGGCACTATTCCTCCCACTGACACCAATGATGGGACACTATTCCTCCCACCAACAACAGTGATGGGGTACTATTTCGTCCACTGACACCAATGATGGGGCACTATTCCTCCCACTGATACCAATGATGGGGCACTATTCCTCCCACTGACACCAATGATGGGGCACTGTTCCTCCCACTGACACCAATGATGGGGCACTATTCCTCCCACTGACACCAATGATGGGACACTATTCCTCCCACTGACACCAATGATGGGACACTATTCCTCCCACTGACACCAATGACGGGACACTATTCCTCCCACTGATACCAATGATGGGGCGCTATTCCTCCCACTGACACCAATGATGGGGCGCTATTCCTCCCACTGACACCAATGATGGGACACTATTCCTCCCACTGACACCAATGATGGGACACTATTCCTCCCACTGACACCAATGATGGGGCACTATTCCTCACTGACACCAATGATGGGGCACTATTCCTCCCACTGACACCAATGATGGGGCACTATTCCTCCCACTGACGCCAATGATTGGGCACTATCCCTCCCACTGACGCCAATGATTGGGCACTATTCCTCACTGACACCAATGATGGGGCACTATTCCTCCCACTGACACCAATGATGGGGCACTATTCCTCACTGACACCAATGATGGGGCACTATTCCTCCCACTGACACCAATGATGGGGCACTATTCCTCACTGACAGCAATGATGGGGCACTATTCCTCCCACTGACAGCAATGATGGGGCACTATTCCTCCCACTGACACCAATGATGGGACACTATGGGACACCTCCCACTGACACCAATGATGGGGTACTATTCCTCCCACTGACACCAATGATGGGGCACTATTCCTCCCACTGACACCAATGATGGGACACTATTCCTCCCACTGACACCAATGATGGGACACTATTCCTCCCACTGACACCAATGATGGGGCACTATTCCTCCCACTGACACCAATGATGGGGCACTATTCCTCCCACTGACACCAATGATGGGACACTATTCCTCCCACTGATACCAATGATGGGGCACTATTCCTCCCACTGACACCAATGATGGGGCACTATTCCTCCCACTGACATCAATGATGGGGCACTATTCCTTCACTGACACCAATGATGGGACACTATTCCTCCCACTGACACCAATGATGGGACACTATTCCTCCCACTGACACCAATGATGGGGACACTATTCCTCCCACTGACACCAATGATGGGGCACTATTCCTCCTACTGACACCAATGATGAGGCACTATTCCTCCCACTGACACCAATGATGGGGCACTATTCCTCCCACTGACACCAATGATGGGGCACCATTCACCAGGATCCTGATGAAGTCATGTGTGACACGTGACGCAACACGTCGATACGCTACGTGGTGAAGTCATTACGCCGGCAGCCATCTTGGTGCACCCATGATGCAGGTGGATACACCCATAGCATGTGGTGGTAATGCTTTACCTAACGTGTGGAAATGTGAGTGTCTGCTGGCGGTTTTTTGTCTGATTTCCCACATTAATATAGTACGGCACTATGGAAGTGTTTACTGAGCAGAGATTCTGTGAGTGAGCTGGAGGTATCTGAGTTACCTGCCTAATCGATCCCGGAAGGGGGATATACACTTGGCGTGTTGGATCCAGGAAGGGGGATATACACTTGGCGTGTTGGATCCAGGAAGGGGGATATACACTTGGCGTGTTGGATCCAGGAAGGGGGATATACACTTGGCGTGTTGGATCCAGGAAGGGGGATATACACTTGGCGTGTTGGATCCAGGAAGGGGGATATACACTTGGCGTGTTGGATCCAGGAAGGGGGATATACACTTGGCGTGTTGGATCCAGGAAGGGGGATATACACTTGGCGTGTTGGATCCAGGAAGGGGGATATACACTTGGCGTGTTGGATCCAGGAAGGGGGATATACGCTTGGCGTGTGTTGGATCCAGGAAGGGGGATACACACTTGGCGTGTTGGATCCAGGAAGGGGGATATACAGGAAGGGGGATATACAGGAAGGGGGATATACACTTAGCATGTTGGATCCAGGAAGGGGGATATACACTTGGCGTGTTGGATCCAGGAAGGGGGATATACACTTGGCGTGTTGGATCCAGGAAGGGGGATATACACTTGGCGTGTTGGATCCAGGAAGGGGGATATACACTTGGCGTGTTGGATCCAGGAAGGGGGATATACACTTGGCGTGTTGGATCCAGGAAGGGGGATATACACTTGGCGTGTTGGATCCAGGAAGGGGGATATACACTTGGCGTGTTGGATCCAGGAAGGGGGATATACACTTGGCGTGTTGGATCCAGGAAGGGGGATATACACTTGGCGTGTTGGATCCAGGAAGGGGGATATACGCTTGGCGTGTTGGATCCAGGAAGGGGGATACACACTTGGCGTGTTGGATCCAGGAAGGGGGATATACAGGAAGGGGGATATACAGGAAGGGGGATATACACTTAGCATGTTGGATCCAGGAAGGGGGATATACACTTGGCGTGTTGGATCCAGGAAGGGGGATATACACTTGGCGTGTTGGATCCAGGAAGGGGGATATACACTTGGCGTGTTGGATCCAGGAAGGGGGATATACACTTGGCGTGTTGGATCCAGGAAGGGGGATATACACTTGGCGTGTTGGATCCAGGAAGGGGGATATACACTTGGCGTGTTGGATCCAGGAAGGGGGATATACACTTGGCGTGTTTGATCCAGGAAGGGGGATATACAGGAAGGGGGATATACACTTGGCGTGCTGGATCCAGGAAGGGGGATATACACTTGGCGTGTTGGATCCAGGAAGGGGGATATACACTTGGCGTGTTGGATCCAGGAAGGGGGATATACACTTGGCGTGTTGGATCCAGGAAGGGGGATATACACTTGGCGTGTTGGATCCGTAGCTACATGGAGTTCGGGCAATAAGGAGATCCATACTTTAGGATCCAGGTGTGATCCAAAAAGTGTGATGAGCCGTTGGGTCACTGATTGGAGGTGAGCGGCCGTTTTGGGGATCCCTTGGAGTGCACCCCACACGGCACCAGACTCTTGTTTGGAGTGGAGCGCTGTCTGTATTTAGTGTGGAGGATTCCTACAGCACTAATATTTGGACTCAATTAGGAATGTTTTTGCTGTTTTTTGTGATGTCACTATTATTGTTTCGCTGTATATTTGATGTTTGTTCATTATATTCATCACTGTTTTTGTCTCACTACCTAATACTGTTCCTGTGTTCCTCGCTGTGTATAATGTACTCTTGTCTGTATCTCGGCACTTTATATTCATCCCATTTGTAGGATTCTTTTTGTTTACACTGTTGGTGTGTATACCCCAGATTTGGGATTTGGGTTTGTAGGTTCTATCACAGAATTCGGGGTCTGTTTTTATGACCCATGTTTTATTTATTGCATTGCACTTTAAGGATTTTCTTTTGCACTCTTCCAGTTCCCTGTATTGGGACTCGGATGGTGATATTTGATTTATTTATTATATTCAGTGCACTTTATATTGATATGTAGCTCTGCACCAGTTATATATCATTAAAGCTCAGGCAGTACCTCACATGGTCCCCATCCTCTCCCAGATCCCATGGCAAAGCTCAGGCAGTACCTCACATGGTCCCCATCCTCTCTCAGATCTCATGGCAAAGCTCAGGCAGTACCTCACATGGTCCCCATCCTCTCCCTTATCCCATGGCAAAGCTCAGGAAGTACCTCATGTGGTCCCCGTCCTCTCTAAGATTTCATGGCAAAGCTCAGGAAGTACCTCACATGGTCCCCATCCTCTCCCAGATCCCATGGCAAAGCACAGGCAGTACCTCACATGGTCCCCATCCTCTCCCAGATCCCATGGCAAAGCACAGGCAGTACCTCACATGGTCCCCATCCTCTCCCAGATCCCATGGCAAAGCACAGGCAGTACCTCACGTGGTCCCCGTCCTCTCCCAGATCCCATGGCAAAGCTCAGGAAGTACCTCATGTGGTCCCCGTCCTCTCTAAGATTTCATGGCAAAGCTCAGGAAGTACCTCACATGGTCCCCATCCTCTCTCAGATCCCATGGCAAAGCTCAGGCAGTACCTCACATGGTCCCCGTCCTCTCTAAGATTTCATGGCAAAGCTCAGGAAGTACCTCACATGGTCCCCATCCTCTCTCAGATCCCATGGCAAAGCACAGGCAGTACCTCACGTGGTCCCCGTCCTCTCCCAGATCCCATGGCAAAGCTCAGGAAGTACCTCACGTGGTCCCCATCCTCTCCCTTATCCCATGGCAAAGCTCAGGAAGTACCTCACATGGTCCCCATCCTCTCCCTTATCCCATGGCAAAGCTCAGGAAGTACCTCATGTGGTCCCCGTCCTCTCTCAGATCCCATGGCAAAGCTCAGGCAGTACCTCACATGGTCCCCGTCCTCTCTAAGATTTCATGGCAAAGCTCAGGAAGTACCTCACATGGTCCCCATCCTCTCTCAGATCCCATGGCAAAGCACAGGCAGTACCTCACGTGGTCCCCGTCCTCTCCCAGATCCCATGGCAAAGCTCAGGAAGTACCTCACGTGGTCCCCGTCCTCTCTCAGA